TGGGTGTTTGGATGTCAGTACTTTGTTTGATTTGTCTCAAATGAACAAATCTACCCGAATGCTGTTCCGGACGTCTTGGACCTTTCTGATAGCGTTGTGCTTCCTGCTTGCCCTGGGCCTCCTATATGCTTTGGGTTGGGCGTATTGGGCTTGGGTCCAATACCCCAACAAGTATCATGACCAATGCATCTCTACCACACCACAAACAATCAGTTCACTTCATTAAATACTACTAAGTCCAGAGTATCGTGTCATGAATCAAATAATTACCACATACATGACTACGTCATGTAGGAAATCATTACTACAATTTCAGGACCATGTCAGGATCATTACCAACAACACATAATTAACTTTCAGAACTCTAAAATTAATTATTGGTACCAGACAAATAATTACTACACAATCACGACCAAATTCCACTCTATGACCAAATTACATACATCTTTTTTTATTCATTACCCCGGACGCCATTACTAACAACTCACGTTCTTAAATTCATAGTCGTGAATTACAAATCATGCTTTAAATTCATTTCTACAATCTTAATTACTGGAATAACATCAACGGTTAACCAAAGAACATCATATTCATGCTTAAGTAATTAATAACCAGAGTACCAAACCTGCAAAATCTGACTCTTCTTCACCTTCAACCTCAAAGAATCGCCCCTCGCCCAGTGGTGTATTGCATCGGCCAACAAATGATTTGTCTCTCTCTTCAGTACGTTATGAATACACCTTTCATACGTTACCTGTTTATTTGTTAATGAATACACCGGAATTCCCGAATTTTGGCCGCTTCCATAACCGTTTTGGGGCACATAGGTAATTTCGCTTCATTACTAAAAGTCTAGCGTACGTGTTTCTTAGTTGTAGTCATACTAATGTAAACCCAAATAATAGTAGTAATATTTATATAAAAAACTCATAGATTGATTACAATTTTATTAAAAAATATTGGTCTAATTCATTAGTTATTATATACAGTCTAACGTAGCTTGTACTCATTTTTTAGACCAATGTGGTCCAATTCAGTCCGTTGACGATCTCTATTTGTCAATGTGATCCAATACAACTATCACTACAATTATCACCCCTAGAGACATCACAACTATCACGACCAATATCAGTACCACCACTAACACTATCACTATAGTCACGGCTACTATTGTTATTGCTTCTGCTACTGTTATCGCTACTACTGCTACCACTGTCACTACGTTTTTATTAACCTTGATCAATTTGAAATGAAAAAATAAATACACATTTATTAAATGTCTATGATTAAAATACTACTAGTATCTCACCCGTGCGTTGCACGGGATGTAATATACAGATATTATAAATATCAATATATAAATGTATTTATCATACATTTGAGACAAATCATGAATAAAAAATCCGAAAAGATTAGAAGTTTAATAAGTACACACATTACAAATTATTAAAGACCTTCTAGACAACTTTTTTGCAGTTTTTATATATCCATCGTCGCCCCATATCACAAACTCTAATGTAGACACACTTGTCACCTTTGAAACTTCAGGATACAACTATCCATCCATGTGTAAAGCGGAATATCACTAAAGAACACTCACAACTTGCAAACATTTTATTTGACTCTTGTCATCTTGGCGTAGCTAACCATCAAGAGAAACTTTCTAATAGATGTGAAAGTAAGGCTCACATCTATTGGGTAAAACTGATCTTGAAAATAAGAAACTTATCGGTTGCATTAATTTCACATTTCATTTAAGCCTCAATAGTATGGCCTTTAATTTTTATAATACTGTTATAATATAATATCTATACATTAAAATATATAATAAAATGTGGCTAAAGTAGAGAATATAAATAGTGTAAGGTGAAAGTGTGTAAACTATTAAAAATGGATGAAGTGTTACCTTTTTTTACCCATTCTCTCAAAATCTTCTGCTAAAGGAAAGATTTGATATATCTTTTTCTTTTCAAAATGAATAACAATTACACTGTCTCATTTTCTATACAATGGTCAATTACATTATGTTACTCATTTTCTTCATTCTCCAATAAAGAAACATATTTTAATTAAGAAGCTAATAATTCAAGAGTACATTTGATGAGCCCTAATTCAAGAGTATAAAATGGTTAAAAATTGAGAGTGCTAATATTGATAGTAGTATAAATATGTTATGAAATGAATCGATGGGCAGGAAATTCATCCTTCAGATAATTCTATCTAAACTCCAAATATTATTAAATATGGATGGAAAAATGTACCCCATTGGTTAAACTAAAACTAAGGTAACAAATACAAAGTATGTTATAAAATGGAATGATGGGTAGGAAAATCATCCTTCAGATATTATAAATTATGGATGACAAAAATATACTCCGTTGAATAAACTAAAACTAAAGTTACAAAATATGTTATGAAATGGCTTTATGTGCAAGAAAATGAGTAGAGCACCTCTTGTACTCGACATTTTCTCAATTCTCCAAATTCCTACAACCAAACAAAGGATAAGTGAAATCTTCTATGCACACTTTGGCATCATATATCCTAGAATACATTCTGATGTGCTTCTAACTGAACATCTGAAATTCCAGTACAGACAAATCCCTTCTCTCTTATTTTTCTACTTACCCCCAAACTCCAAGAGGGTGAGCTTATAGGCCTACTCCATAAATCATCCGGTTTTTTTTAACTCAAACTAATAATGTTCTCAATTATTTACTCATCCAATGATCATGCTGACCTTAAATCAAATAATTAAAAGTATTTAGTGAACCAAAAAAGGGCTAGAAAATTGCAAAAAACAATACCTATTTACCTGAATCAGCTGGGTTTTACATGCACTTCAACAATGTCATTGTCCTCCATCCCAAGTCTATCAGGAGTATCAATGAGATTAACTTTGTCCCCATCAAAACAGAAGCTTATATTTTGCAGGCTAAGTTTTGCTTTATCAGCATATAGTTGGAAAAGTCTCTCAAACTTATCATCCTATGGATAAAACAGAGATATTTTAGGTACAAAAAAATAGTATACACATTATATTTGAATACATATTCTAAATGTTCTACCTGAGAACGCAAAGTAATCATCTTTCTTTTGGTGTACTTTTGCATTAACTTTTCTTCAACCTGAACTCAGTATACCTAATACAAACACCATCCTATTTGAAAATGAGTTGATTACTTTTCAAGCACATGAGAAAATAACCCACTATTCAAATAGAAAAGCACCTAACAAAAGTCAAAATGAGCATTTTATTGTTCACATTTATCCCCCTAATCCCTATTCCAATAAAAAAGCAGACCACCAACTTCAAGAGGTGTTTTATTCTGGCTGTAATGTGAGGCGGTGAGGCGGTGCGGTGATACGTTTCAATTATCCAGACACATAGCTTATCTATGAATAGAAACCAGAACCAACCTATCGCTTTTAACTGCAAAAGAGAAAGTGCTCCAATTCTACATTTTAGTGTACTGAAATCAAAATGAAAGATTGGATTAGAAGTTAGAACTAAACTAAACTAAAATTTGACCTATATATTACCTTTTATGTTCAGAGCATCCTCCATCTCCGCTCAATGAAAGATAAATTCCGGTCATAGTAATTTCAGTTTTTGTGAGAATGAGCTTCTCCTAATGGTTTTCGAGCAGATTTTTTATCCTTCGGCAAACATTCTAATCAGGAGTGCAGCGAGGCGGTGCGGCGAAGTGCGGCGAGGCGCGGCGAGGCAGTGCGGCAAAGTGCGGTGATGCGGTGATTGATGCCGTGCGGCTAAAAATGCAAAAGAAGAGTGGTAAACGAATTTTCCAGTAAATGAGAAGAATTGAAACGTAAGTAATTATAGCTAGTGATTATTGAAAAGTATGTAACGGTACGAAGGTAATAAAAGGGTAGAGAAGCCATTAAAATGAGAGAGAGGCGGGAAAGAATTTTGGGAGAGGATTCTCCCTTTAGGTATATAGGATAGGATAGGATAGGATAGGATATATGATTCTATTGAAGTGAAATATTAGAAAGTAACTATTTTCGATATTGACAAGAGTGTGACTTACAAGTTAATAAATTTAAAAAAAATGATGAAGCTCATTGTCAATTTTTATGTTACAAAACAAAGGTGAATATCTTTAAAAGCTAGTCACTTTAGAAAAAATAGCCACATTTTTATCTTCTCAAAGTCTAGAAATGATATGCATGTCAACATTTCATTTTTTATACGGAGTAATACCTAATTTACTTATATTTTGAATGACGATGAGTCGTCCATGGATAATTGTTAGTAAATCTATTATGAGCATGTAGCACCAAAAAGTTATTCTTTTTTCTAATTTGTAACAGTTTCTTCAATATTTTGCAATAAAACATGAGTTCATGCTAGGGTGCATCCCCTTTTCCCAATCAGATAATACAGTTGTCGAGTCCTATCTCAGAGATGGCGAAAGAGCTATAGCAATTGTTTCTCGTATATCTGATATTGTAGGAAGAAGCGGAATGGTGTATGAAGTGGAATCCGGTCTCAGAAATGTTGTGGAGCTGGTGAACGTGGCATCAAGGAGGGCTAATGTTATTCCTATTCTTGAAGATGCAAGGAATACTGAGAAGACTAAACCGCCATTAATGAAAAGGTGGATGTCATATATTGTGATTCTGTGACATTGCTGATGAGGCTGATCAGGTTACAATTCTATCAAAGGATGCCAGCTTCTACCTTAACGATGGGTGTCATTTTCTGTTGACATTCAAGGCAAGTAGCAATGGTGCACTGTATGAATGAGATGGTCAGTCATATAGGGCGGTGGGTGTACGAAAAATGAAATTATACGAGTATTATCTCTATTCTTAAATAATAATTGCAACTTGTAGTAATATACGTAGTATTACGGAGTATACTACACTGATTTGGTTCCAGCACCAGATGTCCTGGTACCCCATGATTTAAAAATTGAGCCGCCAAATATAAAAAACTACTAGTATAAACAAATACCATAGCAATCAGTTAATTGCTGGAAGCCTGGAACAAAAGATCAGAGCCAGTTAAACACTTGACGTTTACTGCATCAGAGCAATACGAGACTACAATCACTGCTAACCAAATTATAAACAATTAAAAGTGCATAAGCAATCTGCCATCCTAAAGGGTTAGAACGTTTCAGAAACTCCCTAATAAAACTAAGTTTCCAGATTCATCAGCATCTACTAGTCCTCTATCTCAATTATCTCAGGTTTGATACATGGTTTACTTCCCTGCTCATGTTGCATCTTTGTGATAACAGGGTCACATAAGATCTCCAGCTCTTTCTTTTTCTCCTCAAACTTGCGAGCATCGCCGAGCAGGTAATTCCACTCTAACCACCCATTTGTCTTCTCAACTGCATCTCTCAAAATCCTGGCATTCATCCCAAACCTATTTCCACAACCTCTCAATGTGCGGCTTATGTAACGAATGTACTTCTCCAAAGCATTTTTAGCCTCAGATGCCTTCTTACGCTCCTCATCCTGAACCTTAAAATCTTCAGCCTCCTTTACCATCCGATCAATCTCCTCCTTCGACAACCTACCCCTGTGATTGGAAATAGTGATTTGTTTCTTGTTGTTACTGCCCATGAGTTCTGCAGACACAGTCAAGATACCATCGGTATCAATTTCGAAATAGACATCATACTTAGCGACACCTATGGGTGCTGGAGGGATGTTTTGAAGTGAAAATCTGCCCAGAAAGTTGTTCTCTGTTGCAATTGCCATCTCACCCTCATACACCTTGAAGTCACAGCCAGTTTGGAAGTCATGAGCATTTTTGTAGCCACTTTTCAATTTCTTTATAGGGATGATGGTATTCCTTGGAATCACAACAGACATTACATCACCATGAGTGAATATACCAAGAGATAAAGGAGCAACATCTACCAGCACAACATCCTTATTCACACCCAAAGAGGCACTACTCAAGGATGCAGCGTGAAAAGCTGCTCCATAGGCAACAGCCTCATCAGGGTTTATACCCTTGCAGAGCTTCTTTCCATGGAAGAGATCTTGTAACATCTCCTGAATCTTTGGGATCCGAGTGGACCCACCCACGAGCACAACATCATGGATGTCACCCTTCTCCATGTTGGCATCCTTAAGACACTTCACAACTGGCTCCATACAATCCGTGAATAGATCTAAATTCAGTTTCTCAAATCGCGCACGTGAGATGCTTGAATAGAAATCAATCCCCTCAAAGAGGCTCTCAATTTCAATGGGTGTTTCAGTATTTGAAGACAGGACTCTCTTTGCCCTCTCACAAGCGGCTCTTAACCGCCCCAGCGCCCTAGGATTTGCACTGATGTCCTTCTGCCATTTCCTCTTAAATTCTGCTACAAAGTGGCCCACCATTCTGTTATTGAAATCCCCTCCACCAAGGTGGGTGTCCCCACTAACTGCTTTGACTTCAAACACATCTTTCTGGATTGTGACAATGGAAACGTCAAAAGTCCCACCACCTAGATCAAAAATCAAGATGTTCTTTAAAGACATATCACCACTTCCAGTTCCTTTCTTGTCAAGACCATATGCAATTGCAGCAGCAGTGGGCTCGTTGATAATACGCAAGACATGAAGGCCAGCAATGAGACCAGCATCTTTTGTTGATTGACGCTGGGCATCAGTGAAGTAGGCCGGAACTGTAATAACAGCATTCTTGACTTGTCTGCCTAGATAAGCCTCTGAAATATTCTTCATCTTTTGGAGAATCATAGAAGATATCTCCTCAGCAGTAAACTGTTTCTCTTCACCCTTATGAGTCACAACTATAATAGGTTTCTTTCCACTGCCACCATCAGCTCCAGCAATGACTTTAAAAGGCCAAAGCCTTATGTCATTTTGAACAGTTGGATCATCAAATTTTCTTCCTATCAGCCTCTTCACATCTGTGATTCATATAAAAAAGTTGTTGTATAAAGAGCTGCCTAATTATGTGACTTTTGTATGTAATAATTATACAATTAACTTTTAATGATAATGTGATGTTTAATTTTTTTACATAATTTTCAATTTTGGAGTAGTAATCATGAAAGTTTAAATGTTACTAGTATAATATTAGTCACATTCTTATACATAAATTTTAACTGAGTACTACTTTGGTGAAAACCTTTATAAGGAGTAATTTTCTATTATATTACAGTGAAATTTAACTCTAAATATTTGTTTGGCTTACTTTACCTCGGCTTGACGGCTTCCAAAGTGTACAAATGCTTGGTTGGCTCACTTTACCTCCTATATTTATAGGACAAGCTTACTGCAAGCTGTGTTTGAAGTTTTTTCAAGCACGGAGTTTTTAGCCATAATCTATATTCATGAAATGATTTTTTTTTGTTGGGTTAAGCAATAATAATAATAATAATAATATACATAATGATATTATAAAAATACAATATAAGTACTATAAATAAAGTAATAAGAGGCAGAGAACCTTAGCGAGCATGGAGGGCAAGTGCCCCGCTTTGGTTCCCAAAAATCAGTCTTAGTACATAAGCTATAGAATTATGGATTCTGGTCGGACTGAATAATAGTAGTAGTTGTTGGGCTAACCGCAAGCTTCTCCATTCTGCAATCCAACACCGTTGATATACTCACCAAACAATTTTAGTATTCAAAAAAATTCATGATATCTTAATTTTAGTATTTGAATCTATTTAAGAAAAATTTTGTACCTAAAAATCTTGACGAGATAAAACTCGATATTTTTTAGAAAACTTTATATATCCAATACTAGTTTCATATGAAAGATAATAAAAGTTATGAAATTTAATATTTTTTGTATAAATTGAAATACTTCGTGTGAATGAAAAAAAATTATAACAATTTAAAGAAAATTGAGATTTTTTTGCAGGAGCCCTGCCTCTGTTATTCCCTGGGCATGTTGTTCTTTTCCTCCCTATTGTGAATAGAGTCTAATACCCTCTCTTCATATTTTGGTTCGGATTGAAGCAAATTTTAAGTCAATATGCCAAACTTGGGATTTTCACCCCATAAGTTGTGGGCAGCCTTAGAGTCATAAGTGTTGAGTCTTATATACAGTAATATTTTCATTTCAAGTATTTTCTAAATAAATAATGACAAAAATCTGTTCCAAATAAAGATAGTCGTTAAAAATGTGATTTTTTATACATTAATGACTATCAATGACTTTAAAAATGACAGAGAGAGAATGTAGAAGGTGAAAACGAACCGAATATGGTATTGGAAGGGTTCGTAGCGGCCTGATTCTGGGCAGATTCGCCGATGAGGCGCTCGACATCGGTGAAGGCAACCCATGACGGCGTCGTACGGGTGCCTAAATCGTTGGTGATGATTTCGACACGCTCATGCTGTGGCTCCCAAACTCCGACACAAGAGTATGTGGTTCCCAGATCGATCCCAATCGCTGGGCCTTCTTCTGCACTTTCTCTGCTTCCGTTCTGTTCCATTTTCTTAGAATCCTCTTTCGTCTGGATTACCTTGTGATATTGAACCCAGAGCGGAGAGAGCTTTCCTTTTAATCAAAAATGATGGCGAGCACACCTTTTCCTTCGAAATGTGTAGGAGAGTATGAAGTACTCCGTATCTGAACAGTCTCGTTTTGTGAAAATGAAAAGACTATTCTTCGGCTAAAGATTTGAATTGTGTGCACGCTTATACTTATTATAAGGGAGGGACCTTTTGCTATTGCTGGTGCTTTTTTAAAGCGATTTTTTTAAGAAATTATTGGAAAAGTGATTTGTAGTAAAAGTGTATAGTGTTTGGGAATAGAAGTGATTTTAATTAAAAGGTAGAAGTTGAAGTGTTTGATAAAAAAATGATTTTTTATGGAATATTTTGTTGAAGTACAAAACAGCCCCTGCATAAATGAATTTGGGATGTACATTGGTTCTGTTTTCCGGTTCTTTCCGTGGGCGTCATACCCTATTCCCTTGTCGCAAGTCGGTATTTGGTAAAGCAGAAGCAGACAAACTCACATAGCTTGACCTGTTTGCCCACATCAAATTAATATCTCTAAAGAAACTGGAGTAGCACCAATATTGGATGGAGAGTGCCGAAAAGCTACCAGCAAAGGAAGATGGGACGAGAAGCGATGGAAGAAGATAACTGAGAAGAAGGTTTAGTTAAAATATACGAAGAGCAATAGCAGACGGAGGAAGAGCAATGGGAAAAAGAAGGTTTTGTACGAAGTGGCTGGAGACATGGAATTGAAGAAGTTGTAAGGTGAGGTACACAACCATGGCAGACAAAGGGATGAGCGAGGATTGAGGAACGAAGCTGACAGGGAGGGAGAGATAATGGAAGAGTAGTTTGGGTTTAATATAAAAAAAATAACCTAATAAGTTTCCCTGAAGTTTGAATTATTTACAAAAATACCAAAAAGCTATTAAAAGCATCCCCAACCTGCTTTGAACTTCTAGCTTAAAAGTGCTTAAATTAATCTAAAATTTGAGTTTGCAAACACTCCTTTTGGCTTTTCTCACGGAAAAAGCTCAAAAGTGCTTTTGAGAAGGGTTTCAAACACTCCCTAAGTCTATAACTAAAAGGGAAAACTGTCAAATAGGTCTTCAAACTTTCATAAAAAGTCAATTAAGTCCTTTTATAGGAGACTTTGTCCGGCCGTCGCGATTTGAGGCGCTTCCCGGTGGAATTTTTTGATGAAATTTTTTGAGCATCTTATTCATCTAGTCTAGTTTACTCATGCAAAATTTGAGCTAAAAATTCAATCGGGAACACATTCAAATTAATTCTTGAAGATAACTGTGCATTTTTGCGTTCTCGAATTAATTTCAATGCGTTCCCAATTGAATTTTTAGCTGAAATTTGGTATGAGTAAACTAGACTTGATGAATAAGATGCTCAAAAAATTCCACCGGGAACCGCCCCAAATCGCGACTGCCGGACAGAGTCTCCTACAGAAGGACTTAATTGACTTTTTTATGAAAGTTCGAGGACCTATTTGACAGTTTTCCCAACTAAAAAAAATACTTCCTCCGTCCCATTGGACTTTTACAACTTTCCCTTGTTGTCCCAAAAAACTTTGTCACTTTCCCATTAAAGTAACTATTTTGTGGCTCTATTCATTTCTCTCTTTTCTGCACAAACTTCAACTACACAATTTTTACTATTCTTATTCCTCACTTAATTCAACGAGTGCAAAGTCCATTGGGACAACTACATCAAAAGATATTTTTGAGAGTCTTTTAGTAACGGTTAATTTTTAGTGATTAAAAAGATCTTAAAAATAAAATGTGTTAGTTGTTTGGTGGTAAAAAGCTGACTGTTTGATTTAGTTCTGATTGGTATACAAGCTGTTGGAAAAATTAATAGTAAAAGCCACAGACTTTTCTCAGATGTTACTCCTTGTAGCATCTCAAAAAGATTTTTTATTTTTTGAAAAACTCTTAAAAAATGACATGCCCAATATATAAATAGAAGCTTTAATTGACTTTTTAAACACTACAAAAGCTAGAAGACAGAGACTTTTATCTGCCAGATTGACGTTAACCCGGAAAGGCAGGTTTTTAAATGGAATTGGAATTGAACGTTCATTAGTTCGGTTCTGTTCTCAAAATTTGTAATTTGACGGTTCCATTTCAGAACTGAGACAACAACAACATCTAAGGCTTAATTCCAAAAGGTTTTGGGGTCAGATAACATGAATCGATCCATGATATTGACGTGCACTTGTCGTGAGGTGCACTCAAAATAAATACAATACGACACTGATACGTAGTATAGTGTAGTAAGGTTCGTATCCACAGGGAAAGGAACACTTCTCTTTTTATAGAATTAAAGATACGTAACAAAGGGGGGTTTTATGATTGGTTGATGAACTTAATTTATATTTAAGCACGAAGATGAACGAGTTATGTGGTTTAATTAATGAGAAGAAGACTTGGCTTTGCTTTTATCCACTTAATGAAATGTTCGTTGATCCCGGTTATATCTTTAACTATCTTCCTCTCGAATACTCAATCGAGGAGTATATCCAATTCATCGAGGGTAGTTATTAATAACGAGACGCGTTCATTAATAAAACTTACTATCGAGTCAATATAGAACACGCGCCGTATATGTACTTGATAGTAGCAATAAAATCAAGATGAAAACGATTGAGATTGATAACCTCAACACAAGCGGTTTATCGGTTTAATCAATATAATTAATTCCCCTTGGCTTACTAACCATGAGACGCATGCATTAGCAACCCAAGTTTACTACCGTGAAAGAGCCGAGTTAATAACAAGCGTATTAACCGACCGATTCTAGTATTAATTAATATATGAAACAAAACTAGTTGATCCTTTAAGTATTGCTCAAAATATTAATATGTAATAGGAATAAGAATTAATTAATATTCAAGGAAGAAGATCAAAGAAAATAACTCACAACTTACAATTCATTAAGCTTCAAAGTAGCAAAACCAAGATGGAAGAGTTTAGCTCCTCATTTGGAGACTAAACATGATAAAAAAATAAAGAACTTGTCTAAACTGAGCTTAGAAGTATATGTGAATTGGTGATCTTCTTGTGGAGGAAATGGGGTGTATTTATAGGCTTTTTAGGCTTGCAGGGTCGTGTACCCAATCGGGTTTTCAGCCCACTCGATCGGGTACCATATGTGGCTTCGGCGAAGCTGAAAAATGGGGTTATACCCGATCGGGTCTGTCGGTCACCCGATCGGGTATGGACACCCGAACGTGTTTAAAATCTTCCCGCATGATGCCTTGTTCCCGGATTTGATTTGATTCGAAATTTCAGAAGGGTACCCGACCGGGTATAGGTCATACCCGATCGGGTACAGACCAAAAACGAGATCTTCAATCTTTTTCTTGCATTCTTGCACCTTCCTTCCACTGGTGATGTTCTCCAAAGTGTATTTGGACCTGTTTGAGCTCAGAATAAACCTAATCTAAACATATTACAAATATTTTACAAACTAAACTGTTTACACCAAAAGTGTGTAATTTCCAAAGTAACAATCACTCGAAACTAATTAAAAGTACAAATTTAAATATGGAAATTACACGAATGTCAGATATCGATGCCAAAAGGAGAAGACAGACAAGAAGGATAAAAAATGATAAAATGAATATAATAAAGATAAATAAATATAAGATAACAATAACATGAGAATATAAGAAAGATAAAAGATTAAAGGATAAAAGAACATAAAAAGGGGAGAAGATAAAATAACATAACATAAAAAGATAAAGAAGATGAGTGATAAAAGAACATAAAAAGGGGAGAAGATAAAATAACATAAGAACATAAAAAGATAAGGAAGATGAGTGATAAAAGAAAAGAAAACGAGAGAGGAAAAATAGAAAAAAGATCAATCGTCCACACGAATGTGCGCCCTTCCATATTGCCCTCTCCAGAGTCATACTCTCATTCAACCCAGGAAGACGCATATTATTTCAAATTCCTCTGATCCAAGTCTGTTTGGGTCTTCCCCTCCCTCTCCTCTCTGTCTCTTCTCCCCACCCCTCAAGTCGTATAATAGGTGCATCACTCGGTCTTCTACGCACATGCCCAAACCACCGCAAACGAGACTCCTTCATTTTATCTTCTATAAGTATTACTCCCACCTTTTGTCAGATTATCTCATTCCTCAAGCAATCTTTTCTGGTATGTCCACACATCCAACGCAACATACGCATCTCTACCACACTCATCTTTTGAATATGACATTGTTTCACCGCCCAACCCTCTACGACATACATTAATGCAAACCTAATTGTCGTTTGATAAAATTTACCTTTCAGTCTAGTCAGCATACCTCAATCGCATAGAAATCCTGTGCACTCATCTATTTCATCCACCCACCTCCGATTCTATGGGATACATCTCCATCTAATTCACCATCCTTCTAAATTATGGAGCCCAAGTAACGAAACATATCACACACTCATATCTCCTTACCATCAATAGTAATCCCACTGTTGCTACTACTTCTACATCCACCAAACTTGCACTCCATATACTCAGTCTTGCTTTAGCTTAGTCTGAAACCCTTGGTCTCCAAAGTTTTTCGTCATACTTCCGGCCAACTTTGCTTTAACATCCGATTGTGTCTCATTAATCAATACAATATCGTCGGCAAACATCATGCACCACGGTATATCTTCTTGAATTGACTTCATAAGTTCATCCATGACTATAGCAAATAAGGACTCAGAACCAATCCTTGGTGCGCTCCAATAGTAATAGGGAGCTATGCGGTCCTCCCTACACTAGTACGGACACTTGTAGTACAAGTCTCATACATATCCATGATGATACTGATATACTTACGTGATATGCTTTTTCTAGTTAAGGCCCGCCAAAGGACTTCTCGAGTTACCCTATCATATGCCTTTTCTAAGTCAATGAACACCAAATGCATATCTTTTTTAGTGTCTTTATACTTCTCCACAACTTGTCTAAGAAGGTGAATGGTCTCAGTTGTTGAGCGTCCAGACATAAAACCAGACTGATTCTCCGAAATTTTCACACTTTTTCGAAGTCTTTACTCAACCACTCACTCCCAAAGTTTCATGGTCTGACCCATAAGCTTAATCCCTCGATAGTTGGCACATTCTTGTACATCACTCTTATTTTTAAATAAGGGAATGAGAGTACTCTTCCGCCA